TCAAACTAGGTAGTACACATCTGCCAAATTACAGATTTCAAGCACAATTTGAGCTCCAGGAATCACTTGACAACCAGTGGGGTTAAATTCCTGGGAAGTGTCATGGTTGGCAAAGCTGGAGACAAGAAGTCATAAAAAACAGAGAATGAAAGATAACACTATTTTATTTTTTCATTGTTTATTCTAATACAGTTGTCCCCATTTACTTTTTGATGGGCAATTGGGCTATTTCTAACACTTAGCTATTTTTGTAAATAGCATGGCTATAAACTTGGGGTACATAAGTTATTTTGAATTGTTGTTTCAGGATTCTTAGTCCCAACAGTGGAATTGATGGGTCACAAGGCTGTTCCATTTTTAATTTTATGAGGAAATTTCATACTGTTCTTTACAGTGGCGGCACCAATCTGCATTCCCACCAGTGATGCACTAGGGTTCCCTTTTCTCCACATCTTCACAAGCACTTGTTGTTTATTGATTTATTAATGATAGCCATGCTGACAGGTGATAGCTCTTTCTGGTTTTAATTTGATAGCTAGTGATGTTGAGCATCTTTTCATATGCCTATGGACCCTCTCTGTATGTCCTTCTTGGTTTCTATTCAGGTCCTCTGCCCATTTTTTAATTGGATTGTTTTCCTGGAGTGGAGTCATATGAGTTCTTTATATATATTTTTAGAGTAAACTCTTGTCCAATGTATCATTGGCAAATATGGTCTCCCATATGGTTGGTTCCCTTTTCATTTTGATGATGATTTCTTTAAATGTGCAGAAGCTTTTTAATTTGGTGTAGTCCCATTTGTTTATTTTTTTCCTTTATTTCCCTTGTCCTAGGAGATACATTAGCAAAAATATTGCCACGTAGGATGTCTGAAATTTTACTGCCTATGTTTTTCACTAGAACTTTTACAGTATCATGACATATATTTAAGTCCTTTATCCATTTTGAGTTTATCCTTCTATATGGTGTAAGCTGGTGGTCTAGTTTCATTTTTTTTTCCATTTCCAGTCCAATTATCCCAACACCATTTATTGAAGAGGGATGTTTACTGAAGATGAGGTGTTTACTGAAGAGGAAGTTGGGATGTTATCTCAACCCCCCATTGTATGCTCATGCCCCCTTTGTCAAATATTAATTGACCATAGAGACATGGATTTATTTCTGGGCTCTCTATTCTGTTCCATTTTTTCTTCTATGTGTTTGTTCTTATGCCAGTATCTGGCTGTTTTTATTACAGTGACCTTGTAGTATAGTTTGACATCAGGTATTGTGCTCCCTCCAACTTTATTCTTCTTTCTCAGGATCACTGAGGCTACTCAGGGTCTCTTCTTGGTTCCCGAATAAATTTTTGGTTTATTCTAGATCTGTGAAATATGCCATTGGTATTTTAATGGAATTCCATTGAATCCATAGATTGCTTTGGGTAGTATACACATTTTAATTATCTTAATTCTCCCAATCCATAAACACAGTATACGTTTCCATATATTTGTATCTTCCACAATTTCTTTCTTCAGTGTTCTATAGCTTTCCAAGTACAGGTCTTTTACTTCCTTGGTTAAATTTATTCCTAGGCCCTTTATTTTTCTTGTTGCTATAGTCAGTAAATGGGTTTTCTCTCAGTTGCTCTTTCTGATACTTCATTGTTGGTATATAAAAATGCCATCAATTTCTGAATATTAAATAAGTGAATAATACATCTGACCACTCTGTAACAACAGTTCTAGAAAGCATGTATCTCCAAGTCAGCCAGACATGCCAAGAGGCCCTGCTCTACTGAGATGATCCTTCCAGGCAATCCTCTCAGGAAAGCAAGCTCTCTAAAGTTTCCTTTTTAAAAAGTTCTGAAACAAAGCTTTCTCATTTGGCTCTCAATGGCTTTCACATTTGCTTTCTCCTTTTCATTTCCACAGGTCTTAGCAAAATGCTCACATCACTCACTGATCAGTTCACCAATTATCATGGTGCTCCAGAGCATGTTTTTCTGGGCCAGATCTGACACAGTGGACCTGGGGGAGGGGAAGTGTGAACAGGATGGCCCACAGGTCATCTACTTCACCTGTGGGAGGGGGACAGTAACCAGCCTGCTGCATTCTTCCCTTTAAGGGGATTGTTCTATCTGCCTAACTAGACCGCAAAATGTTAACAATGGGCATATAAATATAAAACCATATTAACATGAAACCACGATTGGCAAAACTGGAGTGGAAAAGGTATCTAAAGTATTCTAAAGTATCACAGAGGTTTTTATTATCTTAGTTGCTTTCATGGCATATGTCATCATCTGTGATTTATTTGATGCCACATCCCAAGTCTGAAACAGAACTCTCAATTATTATAATAGTTTCCATGGAAACGTATCATCTATTCTCCCTCATTCCCTTACTGTTTCCCAGTGACCCACTCTCCCACCTCTCCACGAGGCCCTCTGGAGCTTCCATTCCTCACCCACCCCTGCAACCACAACCTTCTCCATGAGGCCCTCTGGAGCTTCCATTCCTCAATCAAAAACTCTTCAACCCACCTTGTTAACTTATGAGGTAACAAGGCCAAGAATAAAAATGCACATTGTTAAATTATAACAAGTATAATTTAACATTATACTTGTTAAATTAGTGTACAGACATTGGAAAGATGCAAATTAAATGAGCAAAAGTGTTATTGTATGAGGGCAGTAGCACTGAGTGGACATGAAAAGAGTGAACCTGGGTGGGAGCAAGACTCCTCAATATATACCCTTTAAATAGAATTTTAATTATGAACCATGAATATATTGCTTACTTAAAAAGTATGATTTTTTAAAGCTTACCAACAGCCTCAGCTTATTAGAACCTCTTCATTTAGGCTACTTTCTTCCTTGTCATCATGGAAACCACCCATCTTTGGGGTCTAAATGCCTCTCTGTTCTTCTTAGCATTTTAAATCCTTTGACCCCATCAATTTGTCTTTCATACCCAGGCCTCCAGACTCCTTCTTTCCCACCCAGGTTACAACCCTCTTCCTGCTTTGACTTCCTTCCAATCCAGTCCAGACACTATTTGCATTCTTCTATTCATCCCACTTTTACTGGGAACCTGCTAGAAGCAGGCTCCATTGGCTCAGCACTGGGCATCCCTCATCCAAGAATCCTTACCTACCTTATTATCCCTATTACTGTAATTTCCTGGTTCACTGATTCTCTAAGCTCTGCCCTTAGCTCAATCCATTTCCACATACAGGCTGTTCAAAGCTGCTGGCAAAAAAGCCCGCAGAAGTGTGGACCATTACTATTGCCAACTGCTTATTTAGTACTCGGGGCTGCCCAGTAACCTTACTGCACATTCCTGTTCTCAACTCCCATTCCATGGGAGGCTCTTCCAACCACGGGTCAGATCCCTGACTCTATGCCAGCAGATGACCTTTGACTGAGAAAAATCTGTGCATTCAGCCTAGGCCCTGAATTAATTCAATCCATAGGCACTGGAAGTAGAGTGGTAACACGACACAGAAGGTCCCTGCTCTTGTGGCAGTCGGATCTTAGGCGGAGAAAAAAAGACAAACTAATAAACAAACAAGAAAAGTATCATCTGGTGGTGGCATGCCATATGAGTTGAATATAATGAAGAATGAGTGAATGACTCTCTGAGAAGGTGGTCTGGGAAGGATTCTCAGAAGAGGGGACATCTAAATTCAGATGGGGATTACAAGGAGCCAGCCATGCATCACAAATGCTCTAAAGCAGGAAGGAGCTTTGTATGTTTCAAATCCCAAGAACCCTTATTGTGGCCCAAGCACACTGGGTAACAGGAGAAGAAAAAAAGTCATCAAGCAGAAATTACATCAAGGATTATCATAAAGAATGATGTCAGCCAAGGACATAGTATAGAGTTTACTCTAATTGTGACCAGATGTCGTTGGAGTGTTTTAAGTAGAGGCATGTCTTGACCTAATGCAGTATTTTAAAAAATGATCACAGCTGCTAAGTATAATCAAGGTATATTAACTATAGGTCACAAATGTGGAAGCAGGGAAACCACATAGGAGTTTCTGCAGCATCCAGATAGTATATATGGTTTAGGTTAGGGTCTCATTAGAAAAGATGGGGAGAAATCGGTTCATAACATGCTTTGGAGAAGCAGGTGTCAGGACTCACCAACTGATTGTACATGCTGGGGTATATGCCATTTGAAAAGAACTTAAGGATAACTCTCAGGTTTTTACCTAAGCTACAGAGGTGGGAAAGAAATTTACATTTTTACATACCTGAGTTCATGGTATGAGGTTTATACTTCTGGCACAGAAAGAGATTAAAAGTCTCAAAACCACACTAAACAAGCCAGGAATACTCACAACACCATCTCAACTTCAGTAAAACAGCCTCTCCCAGTATCTATAAAACCATCCAGAATGGCACTATGAGTCCCAGTGCTGTCCTTCAACTGTGTTACTATGTGGAAGGAACTGCCTCCATTCTTGGCTGCAAGAGTGATTTTTTTCCAAAAAGCAAATCGGATTGCATGACATTTCTCTGCTTAAAAACTTTCAGTGCCTCCCCACTGCATTATGAATAAAAATCCAAACTCCCCATCAGAGTTCACAGGCTGTGCATGATCAGGCCCTGCCCATCTCTGCAATTTCACATCCTACTACCTCCCTTACTCATGACATTTTGGCCCCACACTTTCTGATGGTGCCTAGAATGTGTCAAGCCCTCTCCACCCCAGGACCTTTGCACGTGTTGTTCTCTCCTAGCTCTTTGAATGCATGGCTGGTTCATTCTCATCCTCACATCTCAGTTTGTATGTCACCTCTTTAGGCAATTGGAGTGGGTCCTCTCTTGGTTTGTCTGCGACACAGCACTCTACTCATTTCCTTCAGTGTTCACCACAAACTGTAGTGTAGACCTGTTTACTTTTTACTCCCTCCCTCACTAGAATGCAAACCCCACATGAGCAGCAAATGTCTTTGCCTTTGCTACTCCTTTCTTCTGGAGCAGGTATCGCCACCCAGCCACACTATACCTTGCCAAAGCTGCCTTTCCCAAGCACCATCAGGAAGTTAAAATCACTCAGCTTCATCCGGTCCCTGTTCCCATTGTTGTCAAATTTGGCTGTGGTGTTGGTCGTCTTTTCTTCTGGAGCCTTGGCTCCCTGGCCGATCTTGGCTCTCTGGAGGGGGAAGCACACAGACACATCATTAAGGTTTGAGGATGCCTTCGTGGGAAAACACATGTAGACACTGCACACTGTGGTTCCTGTTACTCATGGTCCACCTCCACCCTTGTGAAAAGCATGGCCCGTATCTATTCTGTAAGGCCTAAATCTGGAGACTATCCTTGACACCTCTAATTCTCTTGTAGCCCTCATATTCACACCAGGAACAGTCACGTTTTCCTCCTAGCTGCCTCCAGAATTCATCTTCCTTTTGTCTCTACCAACATCACCCCCTACCTCAGTTCCCTCAACACTGGGATTCCCATGCAGCCAGAACAAGCTTTCACTTCCTTATACCCAACCGAGTCACCACCTGCTTAAAATGCTTCATTGGTGACCCATTCTTTTTAAGATAAAGACTTCAGACTTTTGCTAGCCAATATGGGACAGGGTATTAGCCAGCAAATATCTGGGTGCTCCCTAGTTCTCCAATCTCATCACCTCTTAGATCCTTCTTCCCTACAACCCAGCTTCATTCTTTCACCTCCCACCTCGGGGCCTTTGCAAGTGTTCCTGCTGCCATGTGGATAGCTATTCTCTCACCTTCTTTCTCCAACTTAGTTACCCCCAGTTTCACTTCCTCAGGGAAGCCCTCCTCGATTCCTTGGATCTGAAACAGTTGTCCCTACTTGCTCTCTTCATCCATTTCACTTCCCATTTGTATTGGATGATAACTGCCTGTTCACTTGTTTCCCCCAGTGCACTGAAAACTCTGAGGGCATGGATTATATCTCATTCTCCACAATTTCCCTAGTATATTTCAACTAAAATAGTTTCTGGCTCCATGGGTAAATGAATGGGCAAACGAGGCCCATGTGTGTCCTCAGTGCATTGGGTGATGGGCCTGCTTATGGGAGTAGCAGAACAGTGACTCAGATGGCAGCAAATGCTCCCGAACAAGGACAGAATGGGAGACCAGCAGTTGCCAGAACCTTGTTACTGATTTGCTTCTAGGAGTGAGAAACTTGTGGCATTAAAAGCTGTTTACAATCCTGACTCTGGGGTTATGATCCCAAGTTCACAATGCTCCTTTGCCCAACATCACAGACCTTTCTATCTCTCTCATAGAAACAGCCAAAGGCCACAGATAACCTGGTCCTCCTGCATTCTCTGATTTCAGTCCCTTCTCCTGCTGCCACCACACCGGCCTCACTGCTGTTCTCTGAAAGCACCAACCACACTCTTGCCCCAGGACCTTTGACTTGCTGTCTTCCAAGCCTGGAGCTCTTCCCAGAGAACTCCCTCACCAGAAAAGAGCCTTTCACCAAGTGCCCAACATGAAATAGCTCTCAGCAATCTCTCTCCCCTTATTTACTTCATTTTCTCCGTCTCTTGTCACTACCTTATATATTTACTTGTTTCTTAATTTATAGTCTTTCTCCCCACACTAGAAAACAAACTGCATGTGAATTGCCCGGTGCAGAGAGGCACGCAATTATATTTGGTGAAAGAACTTTTCCAAATTTCAGTCGCCTTTTCAAGGAAATGAGTTAATCACATGAGACAATACATTACAAAGTTCTCAGCACCATGCCTGTCACTTAGTAGACGCTCAGTGAATGGTAGGTATTATTATTGTTGTATTGTTTGCTTTTATTTTGAAGACAAAGTGGCAACAAAAAACTTCCCAGGGTTTTCAATATCATGGAACATTCATTCATTCAAGAAGTACTTATTGAGTGCCTGCTACATGCCAGGTATTGCCCTATATTTGGAGGATCCATCAGGGAGGAAAGCAGATAGCCATGCTTAAAGAATTTGCATTCCAGCAGGAACGGGGTCTTCTATCCTATGTCCAAAATGTACTTTGGAGTTACCGAGGAAAAGAATTTGGAGTCACAGCAGAAAGAATCTTTAGGGCACAAAGAATAAGACACATTCAAAGAACTAAAATGCTATTCCATCTGGCTGGAGCAGAGTGCAAGGCAGACATAGCCTGGGATGCAGCCAGAAGGTCAGGAGGACATTGCAAGCCCCATCAGGAAGATTCAGCTGATTCTGAGCACACAGGGTTTTCACAAGGCTATGGTGTGAGCCTATCACATGGAGGAGAGCACTCTGGGCTTAACAAAGAAAGCCATTTACAGGAGATGAGTTTGGAAACCATTATGAAGTGACTGCAGTCATCAAGGTAGAAGTGGCAGGGCCTGAACTTGGTGTCTGCAGTGTGGATGGAATGAGGCGGGCCCATCTGGGGACACAGACTGGATGTGGACTGGGTGAGGGAGGTCAGGAATGAAAGACAACTCTGCTGTTTGGAGCATCTGGGAGGACAGTGGTGCTTTCCACTGAGGAAAGGCGGAGGAGGAGCAAGTGTGGGCCAAAAGGTGAGAAGACGTCACAAGTCTGATTTCAAAGTCATTGAGAGTCCCCCTTCCCTATATATAGTGGCTTAAAACTGCAAGGTTTATGTCTTTCCCATTGGTCAGGTTCCATTTGTCATGCTGATGAAGCATCCACCATTGCTTTCTTTCTGTAACTAAGGTTGAAAGGTTGAGGTGGATACAGTGAAATGAAATCTTAGGTGTACAGCTCTGTGAATTCTGACAAATGTATACATGCAAGTAACCCAAACACCAATCAAGATACAGCACATTCCCACCACCCTCAGGAGGTTCTCTCGGGCCCCTTCCCAGTCCATCCTCCTCCCACACAGGGAATCTCTGCTCTGACTTTGATCCTCAAATGTTGGCTTTGTTTGTTCTTGAACTACACCTAAATGGAGTGATAGAATGTGACACAATAAGAAATATATATTTGGTTTCTGTCCCTGGTGTTGCTGACACAGAACTCCTGAAACCCTTGCAATTTCCTCATCGATAGGGGTGCTGGGAAAATCTTTTATTCTACTATTTGGCCTTTGTTCTCAGTTCCTAGCATGGAGCTCCTAAATCCCTTGGAATTACCTGGGTAACAGCAGCATTTTTTTTCTAAAAGGGGACTCTCGGTGGGCTCCAGAATGTCTCCTGGATGGAGGCTGATCTAAGAAGGACCAGACTATGACTAGAAAGTTGGAGCTTTCAGCCCCTATCTTCTGGAACTGGAGATCAAGTAAATAATCGATCATTCTGACATGATGAAGTCTCATAAAATTCCATAAACTATGTGGTTTCAAGAGTTTCTGGGCTGGTGGATATAGCCACAAGCAGGGAGGATAATGCACCCCAACTCCACAGGAACAGAAGCACTTGTACTTGGGACCCCTCTGGACCTTGCCCCGGACAGCTGTTCATCTGTATCCTTATCATGGGATAAACCAGTATAACAAAAGTGTTTCCTTCAGTCTTGTGAGCAAATTACTAAACCTGAGGAGGGGTCCTGGAAAGCCCTGATTAGTAGCCAAGCCAGACAGAGTACAGGTAACCCGGAGTTCCAGGTACTGGAGTTACATCCTCATTCCCCATCCAATCGGAGTTATGCAGTTCTGACTAATTACAGCAGCTCTATTCTGACCAATCAGTACAGTGACTTTGGAATAATCAAACTGTGAGGATTTGGAGTCTTAATTTTTGTAAGATGGACCAATCAAGGGGTGGGGATTTCTGTATATAAGCTGGCTCCCCTTTGGCTCAGAGAAGAGACCTTCTACCAAAGACTAAAGACTATGTTTCCCAGGCTAGAGCTGAAACACCAAAGATGTCTTGCCAGAGCAGAGCAGACCATTACAGAGTAGACCACTGCGGAGCAAAGCAACTGTATCGCTGTTGAGCTATCTGCACCAAATGAAGTCTCCTTCTTCACTGCACCCCAAATTGAACATTCCTGTTGGCAATGAGTTGGTGCCAACAACCATTAGCCTCAACAACCAGTGACCTCATGCCTAGCAGGTTCTCCATCAGATTAAATATTTTAAAATTGAGGCCCAAATTAAAACTATCCTCAGTCTTTCTGGGTTGGATATGTCTTGAGAAACAGGAACACACTAATGGTTACCTTTTCATGTCTGTGATTTAGAGGCCTAAAACCCAGTGTTCAAAGAGAAAACAAATAGACTGCACTTCTGAGCAGAGAGCTCTGTCTTTTTTCAGACTCTGCTGGGTAGAGTGAAGGCACCTCAGCAGCCAGCCTCCAGCGTTTCATTTCAGATGACTAACGCCTGTCCTGGCTTAAGCTAGACTCCTCGGACCACCCCCACCCCTTCAAGGAGCTCCCACAGCCCTCCCCATACATGCTATTAACATCCCAATTTTTCTTTTACCAATGAGGAAACTGAGGCCCAGACAGGTTAAGCCACTTTCTTACACTTTCCTGCTGGTACCCAGCCTCAGGCACTAGGAGTTCCTGACCCACAAGCAGCCCTTTCCAAGCCCAGGAGCATGTTCTGAGCTTTATTTGAAGGGGGAGCTGATAATGATAATGACAACCTGACATTTGAATGTTGTAACATGCCAGATGCTGTTCTAAGTGCATTATCTCATTCAATCCTTACACAACCTTATGAGGTAAAAAGTGCTAAGTCCCCCATTTTACAGAAGGAAAATTAAAGGTTCAGATACTGAGTAACTTGTCTACTCAGCAAGGAGGGGGCAGAGCTGGGATTCAAAGCCAAGCAGCCTGGATCTGAAACCACTGGCACAGAATAGGCTACACTGCACAGATGCAGGCCCAGGTGTCCTACCAACACCCTGTGGGACACTCCTCTCTACATCTGGGCTGCTTGTCCAGGACACCTGTGATCCTGCCTATGGGCTCATGTCCTGGTTACAAGAGAAGCACAGCCCACAAGCAGGGCAACTTGGAAGTGCTGGCAAGTTTATTTCCCTGGAAGCAGCACGTAGCCACAAGTGAAGGGAGCAAGTAGATACTTCAGCTTCCTGTCCCTAGACTGGGAAGCCTTGTAGCACTCAACTCCCAGCTGGATAAAACCCCGGTTACCCACAGTGGTAACTTGCTTGAGAAGGCATGCTCTTCTGGCTGACTTCCTTTCCCTGTACCACTTCCCCACGACTCTTTGGTGCCTCCAGGGAGCTCCTCCACAGAAACCACCTGCACTTGAATCCTTATGGTCTGTTGCTGGGGACACTCAAAGTGGGACAACGACCAGCTGTGGGGTGTAAGAAAGTGGCTTAACCTGTCTGGGCCTCAGTTTCCTCATTGGTAAAAGAAAAATTGGGATGTTAATAGCATTTATCATTCGGAGTTGTCATAAGGATTAAATTGAATGAGTTAATATGCCTAAAGTACTTAAAAATAATAAATAGCACATAGACAGCATTTTATTAAACTTAACAATTCTAAGAAAATTTTAAGAAAAATGTCAGAAAACCCATTCTGAACCATCTAAAATGGTGCCTTCCTTTCCCTGGCCCATCAGCAAGCCCTCAGTCAGGAAAAAAACAACAAAAAAAGCCCCCCCAAAACAGAGCTCACACCGAATGTCCAAAACAAATCACTCATAATAACTGCACCCCACTCACCCTACTTTGAAATTCTCTTATCCCAATCTCAGCAGTTCGATTTTACCATCACTCAGAATTTCTCTATATAAGAGACTTAAAAGCAATTTCTGAGTCATTCTGGGTGCTAATTGGTTACTGCATAGAGATTACATTTCTCATGTTCAAGGTCAAGTGAAACTCCACTATATGTCCAAGAACGATTTCAGTCTGTTGGAAATTTTTTAAAGCAACTACTATGGTATGGAGCAGTGATAATCTAGGCATTAACAAGTGTCTGTGGGCTCTTGCTAGAAGTAAAAGGGGCACATTTTATTGTATGCAGACAAAATACTCCTTCACTTTAAGCCTGTAACTGGCCCAGATAAATACTCTGTTCATGTAGGAAATATGTTCCTTGGTGTTCTGAAATGCCACTCTAGCTGACCTAGGAAAGAAGAAATCATTTTGCAATTGAGACAAGAAAATACTGGCCTTTTTTTTGCACCCACAGTAATACATTTTAACACAGTAGTAAATGGATACATCATCAGGAAGGTGAGGGAAAGAGATGGAAAAAATGTTCTCTGGAAGGCCTTGTTTTTATCAAATAGTGTCCAGTTCTCAGTTCTACTGGGTGGAGAGTCCTTCCGTCAACTCCTTGGGTCTTAAGCCGGGTATACAGGAATGACCCTCAGCCACCAAGTTCAGTGGAGAATGACACACACGTAGCTCAAGGCCAGCATGCTTATTCTACTCGTTTCCAGGAAGGAATATCCCACTTGGTCAGAACCATCGCCATAATCCAGGTTTTGTGGAGGGCACAGGCTCAAGGCAAGGGTCAACACTCAAGTGCCATTCCTGTCAAGTTCAGGGGGAAACTAACATGGCTCTTGAAATAAATGGCAAAATCCTTGCCAAGGCTAGCACAGCCCTTCTACTTGGACCTCCTCCTCTCTCCCCAGCCTTACTTCAACTCACCTTTGGCTCTCCCTACACTGTCCTTCTGTCAGGCTCACATAGCTACTATATCTCCCCACCACAGGGCATTTGCACATGCTGTCTTCTTCGAATGGAATGCTTTTTACCCCTCCTGACTAGGTTAACTTCCACTGTTGTTTTCTCAATAACATCATCCCTGTGCTGTCAAAGTTACACTTCCCTCTTATGTTCTCAAAGTACCATGGACCTCACTTCCGCAGAACTTTACCTGGTTATATTTTTTATATTTGCTTGTGCGATTATTTGATGAATAACAATGATGGTAATCTATTTTGCTTTTAGGTATTGAGTACATTTTTTCAGAGTCAGTAGGCCATCACTACTTATCTAGAATTGGTAATTTTCCCATCAGACTCAGTATATCAAGTTTACATGAACAAAGTCATGTTTCCCCTCATGAAACAACTTTAAAATCACTCAGTACACAAATAATGAAAGAACTAAAATCCATCTTCACAAAACATTTGCTTTGTAAAAGTAGGATGTGTCCTACATACCAGTTAACTCTCAAAAAGATGGAAGTGGGGTTTATTTGGCCCTACAGAAGGGAAGGAGTTTATCTGAGGCAAAAGCAGAGCCAGCACTAGAGTCAAAGGTCATAGCCTAGGTCAGGGCTCTTATTCTTTGAAAGATACACTCACAGGTATTTCATAAAGTCACCAGCACTGTGAATTCCATTTTTCAACAGTATGGCACCATTCTGCCAACATATCCAAATCCAAATTCTATCCCTCAGCAAAATTAGTTGACTCAGCCTCCAAAATACATCACTATTCTGTCCACTTTTATTTACTATCACTACCACCCCAGTCCAAGCCACCACCAAAATGACCTGGGCAGAGTGAGCACTTTCAAGAAAAAGTCCAAATCTGAATGAAGACAGAGAGGCGGGAACACAGGGCAAGGAACACTTAACTGAAGTCTTGGAGGATAAATAGGAGTTTTCTGAGAGACAGAACATTGCAAAGGCACAGAGTCATGAAAGGCCTTGGAATAAACCACACCATATATTTCTGTGGCAGAAAAACAGCACAGAGACAGACTCAACCAGTTCCCGTAGATGCAGAAAGAAAGAAAGACATCTCACCTCAAATTTCTGCCGCAGTTCCTCATTGCCCTCGCTTCCTTCTGGTGGCACAGGCACGTTAAAATACTCGCCCTCCTCCTGGCTCAGCAGCTTAAACCTAAAGAGAGACAAGGGGCCAGGAGCAATTCCATTACTCTGCTTGACAGTATTTTGTTGGCAGAACAAAAGAAAAAGCCTAGGAAAAGCTCTATTTTAAATAACATGTGAAAGGTTTTTTTCTTCTGGGTGTGTGTGTGTGTGTAGCCAGTATGCTATATATTTTTATTTTTGTAACTATTCCATGGACATCAGAAAAATGTATATTCTGTGTTTATGGGATGCAGCTCTCTCCCTACATACACACAACACTACTGTCTTAGTTGTATCACTCAGCACTGCATATTTTCACCTGTTTTTTTTTGCCCATTAAGTGTTCCTTTATTCTGAAGGAACTCTATGAAGACCTCTGCTGCCTATGTGTTCCTACCACACTCCCCAGCATTGTGACTATATTTTATTTCATGCATATTGCCAGCGTGCTGTCCTGGCACTAAGGCATCTGGATGACTGTGAACGTAACTCCACAATGCTGTTTTTCTTTTCAGGAGTCACACTGATACAGCACTAATCGGATGTGTGGAAAAAAACATAGCTTCTTTATATTTTGTAATGGACCTTGTACAGTTTCATGACATCTTGTTGGCCAAGCACCAGGGGACTGGCACTGCGTGTGGTGCCTTCTGGCTTTCACTGCTGCAGTGGCCCATCTTGCCTGGTCCCAACTAGAGTTGTGGCATCATTTTGGATTTAGGCTGGAGTCCTGTCCCTGGCCTATGGCCTCTGGTTGGGAGGTTCATCCATACCATGTCCTCTTTGTCCCACCCCCAGGCCACTGCCAGCCCCACCCACTCGGCATTTCCATGACCTGTCATGACAGAGAGCCAGGAGCATGGTCTCGGAGTCCTTCCTCTTTCCAACCTGCAGCTGCTATTGCTGACACTCTGACCTCTACATAGGTCTCTGCCCAGGGCCCCATGAGGAGGGAGGCGAAGCCCCTCTGCTTTCACCCTGTTCTCTCCCTCCTCCTGCCCATGGTTCTCCAAGCCCCAAGGGGCAGGGCTATCTCCACAGATGCCACATCCCTCTTCCTGGCTGAATGCCTGGCGTTCTACTCCCTTGAAGCCAACAACAGAGTGCAGGGAGGACAAAGTGGTTTAATGATAGGGGACAGCTCATCAGGAGTAAGTCCCAAATATTACTGCATTCACACTTATGTCATCCTTTAATTTTCTCAACAGTTTTGAATGGAGTACTGTTCCTGGGATCAGAATAGTCAAGCAATGTGTGAGGGCTGTACAAGCTCATAAGTAACAGAGCTAGAGTTTGGGTCTAGGTCCTTGCAATGTCAGAGCCTATACACAGACATCCCATTCTGCTTCCAGATAATATGGCAGAGGCCTGGGGGGCAGACGAGGACATTTTGACCTTGGCTCTCCTACATGGATGGGTGCTTTGTGACCTTCGGTGAATCACATCACCTCTCCATACTATGGCCATATTTGCAGATGTGATTCCATCCACCAAGGATCACCAAGGATTACAGCACACCCTCCCCCGAAATCCACCTTCTAGGATAGTTGTAAGGATGATGAAATTAGAGTTGGGAGGGAAGTTTTGCAAAATAAAAGCTCTCTTTAGATTTTGTAGATAAAAGTACTCTTCAGATTTAGGGCCAAAATGATGCTGTCCTAACTCTAAATGTATCAAATTCTAGAAATTAGGATTCTTGTTTTGTCCCAGGAAATTTTTTTAACACTGTGTGACCCACGGTAAGTCACATGTCCTGTCCAAGACTCAGTTTCCCCACCTGGATAAGCCCTCCCAGCTATTCTGTGTGCTGTGATGTGAGGCCATGTGGCCAAGGCAGCAAAAGCATCTGTGAAAGCTCCCAGATGTGGAGCATCTGCCTCAGGCCCCTCATCTGCTGCTTTGCCACTAGCTCTGTGTCTGTTGTCAAATTCTCTTGTTTCTAATTTTATTTATGATGTCTCCTTTCTTTCCCCTTGTTTTCCAGAGGTTTCTCTGTTTATTGTTGTTTTTGGTACTTTTCCTGTAAAGAATTGGCTATCAGATTTGTATATAATTTTGTTTCTTTTTTCTCATTTCCTGTAGGTTTGTTTTGTGGTTTTCTTTGAATTTCAGTGGAATATTTTGCTAATTTATTTTTCCTCTCTTAACTTCCTTTGCTCTTTAAAAATAATGAGCAAACATTGAGGAAATAAATATTTCCTCCAAGTTTTGAAGTTATATTCTAACTTTGGTTGCTTAACCAAAGTGTGCAGTTCTATTTGTAATTTCCTTTCCAACGTGCTTTTACAGTAGCCCCTCCTGTTCATAGACAGACCCCCAGTGGAAACCCAAAACCCCAGATAGGACCAAACCCTGGGTATGCTATGTTTTTTCCTACACACATACCTTTTCACTTAAAGGAAGCACCTTACAGCTTCTCTGTGGCATATCCAAATTGCCAGCTTCACTACCCGGGTGCTTTAGGGCCATTTTTAAGCAAAATAAGCGTGACGTGAATTGTGATACTGGGATGGCTGATCTGATAACCAAGACAGTGTTTTATAGCGTGTACACACTGGAGGAAGGGATGAGTCCCACTCCAGCCTGCTTGCTGACACTGTTCTAACAAGGAAGGTTTTGTAAGTTACACCATCAACTTGGACTTGGGTAGCACTGAGTTGTATATGTTAATATTTTTATAGTTACTTTCTTCTTGAAATAAGTGATGTTGGCCTTCTTTACAAGAGCTATCAAGTATCCTTTCAAAGTGAATTTATTATTTAAAAAAGAGACAATGTAATGAAAGCATTAGTCCATAATAGCCAGATTTAGCAAAATCCACAAAGGTGAATAAAGTTTGTCAAACACTGCTCCATGTCCTCTTACAATGACTTTAATTTGGGAAAATTTTCACAGGTCTATGCTGTATGGAAAGCACCTTTCCTGATTTCTAGCAGAGATACAAATGTTCTCTTATTTTCATATATATTTTTTGTAATTCCAGGGAGGTTTGAAAGGGCAGAATTGAATCTTAAATGTGGAGGCTCAGATTATCATCTCTGCTTTGAAATACTGATTCCCTATTTTTAGAAGTTGACAGGATGATTTGTGAATGGAGAAAAAAATTGTGATGAAAACTGTAAATTCTGGTTAGAAAGACTCTTTTGGGAGTGAGGAGTTTTGTGATATTCCCCCCACCCATTGACTTGAGTATCTATGGAATGTGCCTTTTCCTTCCTCACTTTCATCTTGTTGACTAGGTAGAAACATCTTTCTTGGTAGTGAGAAAACAACTGAAGCCATAATATTTATAATAATAATATTAATATCAGTGATGATGGTATCTTTTATGGAGCACTTACTAAAGTGCCAGGCACTGTACTTCTCATTTTATATACATCATTGCATCCTAGCCTCACAATGATCTTATGAAAAACAGGCTTTTATTCCAATTAAAGATGAGAAAAATCAAGACTCAACGGGCCTAACCAACTTCTCTGAGGGGATCCTAGGAGGCAAAGGTAGAGGCAATATTTGGACCCAGACACCATTTGACCCAAGGACTCATGTGCCTGCCATGAAGGGAGTCCATATCTCCTGAGATCAAGAACTTCAGAAAGGCTTCTGCAGAGAAAAACAGCATTGGATGAGATTGGGTGCGTTCAGAGTGGTATGGCCATAGACAGAAAAACAGCATTGGGAAAGTTATCAGCCTAGTGCCAGCCCTCTATAAGAGTCAATAAGTGGTAGCTATTGCTATTATAATGATTATTATTACATTCTCTCCTGTATTACTTATATTCTGCAGAGATGGTGCATTCTTCCTCTTAACTTCTTTATGCCCAACTTAAAGAGGAACACAAAATCTGTGAGTGGTGATGGGGGAGCATGCAAAGTTAATAATTCATGTGCTAAAAAAATTATCCAAAACTTGAGGCAAAAAGATGATGGTGTGACCCTTTAATACCATGTTAGAGCATCTCCTAATTAGTTCTCACCTTCCTCACAGTACTATTACTTGTTCACAACCCAGTAGGGCACAGATGGTCTCCTAACTCTGCAAAGCTGGATGTTGATGGTTAGAAGACAGGGGTGAGACTTTGTTGCTCTAGTCCCCCAGATCAAATAACCTCCAAGGCTCTGATGTCTTTGCTCTGTTTAGTGGCTGGTTTTATCTCCAACTTCACATGGTTATTTCAGCATTCCATTGTCTACTGACATACAAACCTTTGGAACCAGCCACTCCTCTTCCTGGTTTCCTCACTTGGGAGCTAAGGAAAACTTTGACAAATTCTTATCTTACAAGAGTTGTATTTTTAACCATTTTTTAATTGTGCTTTAAGATACTTTAGTAGTAGTAGTAGTAGTAGTAGTAGTAGTACTCTGGGCTTCTGTCCTCTTCACGTGTCTGATGATGTCATTGATTAGTTTTCTGTATAATTTCCCCTTCAAGGTTTATCTTCCCCCTCTAGAAGCTCAGCTTGATGAGAGCATGTCTGTCTCATACTTGACACACCTCTAGTGGCAAGAATGGAGTAGACATTCAGTACATATTTGAGTAAAAGCCCCTGATAAATACAGAGGAAAGATAGAGCATTTGGAAAGTGAACAATGTGAGGTCTCAATGATCTGTTCTTTCTTGCTAAACCAGTTTGATTTTGATTTTCACTTGTAACTGAAAAGGCCCTCAACGAGAGCATTCAGAAATGAGAGAATTTCTCCTAAACAGATCAGAGAGGGCAGCCACCAATCCTCACTCTGTCAAACCAACAGCTTCAGGATGGGCTGTCTATTATGACTCCTTTACTCAGACTACTGGAAAACAAATGGTTGCCAAGGAGGCTTACCCAGCCTCTTTGTTGGGAATATTAAGCAAAAACTTTTTGGCAAAAGCTCCAGAATAAAGGAGAGAGAGTGTGCTGACCCTGCCAGCCAGCCCCAGCACTTAGCAGCCAAGCATGGGAGCAGTCCCAATGACAGAGAATCTTCCTCAAGAGAGTCAAAATCTGGCAGTGGCAAATATAAAACCCTGTCCAAGGGGGCATTAACTCTTCAACTGTTCTCATTTGATTGTGTGCTCAGATTTTTCTAGCTTTTCAAGACAGAAGTTCAGTTTTTATGGGAAATCGCCTGATTTTTAAAAATATTGTTAATTATTTTTTTTCTTTTCAGTACGATGACCAAATAAAACATATCTGTGAAGCCAATACAATCTATCTGCCATCACTTTGTGACTCTGCTTCAGTATTGCATTTTTAGGAGGAAAAGAAAGACAGCCTCGATCCCAGGTTGGATGAACCCAGCTGTCTGTATTGCAGCTTGCAAAGGGAAATCTTCCTTACCAGCCATCAACACCAGCTTTCTGCAGTTCAGAAATCCCAAAGGACAGAGATCCCATGAAGTCGTTCCGGCTGGTCAGATCCCAATCCCAAATCTCCACAGACAGCCTCCGGTCTTTGTCCGATTCTTTCAGCTGGCTGTGGGGAGGAACAAAGGGAGATGTCAGGGGTGACAGTGATTTCTCAATCAGATGAAATGTACAAGAGGACAAGACCCCAAGGCAGGAATTTTTAAAGATTACAAGCTGTTGCAAGAAACATATTCTGTTTCCATCCCAGATGAGCTCCCCAGGGAAGAAGAGCTTTTTCTGTTTGATAGCCTGTGGCTTAAACAGGTAGAGGGCCCAGGTCAGCTCTGAGAGGGGCAGTTCTAGCTACTTCTGTTGCATTCCTTATGTCTTAATAAGGCTTGTGGCATTCTGGAAATCTTGTAGACACTCACTATAAGAAATATGGATGTCAATTATGTGACTGTGTTCACACACACAGGTTGGGTGAGGCTAGGGAAATAGATGAAGGAAAGAGTCTCACTGGTGCTGGTCTCAGAGAAATTGTATGTTCTGAGGCATCTTCTTGGTTCTGCCTGAAATGGGCTCCCAGGTTTTCCTTAAGAGAGGAAAGAGGGGATGAGGCTACCCTCAAGGAATCATGCTTTTGGCCTGTGGCCTCCCAAGTCAGACTGTCCAAAGCTGACTCTCACTCCACCCTGTATTTGCTGTGGGACTTTGGGCATGTTCTCTAAGCCCCATTGGTAAAATGAGGTAATGTGACCAATGGAGCTAGATCACTTAATACAGCACTTGTTACACATAGTATATGGTCAATAAACATCAGCCGATAGCACTAACACTTGTTGGCCCGGCTATATCAAAAAGAGACCCCTAGGTTTTTGGAGCACCAGCCAGGAAGACTCTGCATGGAAGCTGACAGGAGTCCTCCATGCGGAGTCCTGAAATAAGACATCAGGCTGCAGGCCCAGCACTTTCCACAAACTCAGCCTAGAGAAGTGATCACTACACCCTATGAGTTTGCAGAGACCCTGAGCTTCCCACAACTTGCCTTCACCTAGCAACACATCATACTATTTTCTACGCCACCCACTCCCCACACCACAGACATTCTCAACTCTATTTAAAAAAATAGGTTCCAATGTTTATTTGGCTTGCAATACAAAAATGCAGATGGAAGTGGGGGGAGAAGGAAGGAAAGAGTGGGGGAGGAAAGGAGGAAGGGAGCAAGGGAGGGAGGGAGGGAAGGAAACAGAGGCTGGGAGAGGAGCTCCCAGATCTCAGGTGGTCCACCACTCATGCTAGGCTGCAATGATTTCAACTTACAATCTGAATGTCTCGTTCCACTCGGGGTTGAGGGAGCACTTGATTGTTTTGGTCTTCTGTTTGCTCTCACTTTTGGGGTCAGGAATGAGTTTCAGTTTCACGTAGGGATCTGACAAGCCATTGGGGTCCATAGGTACAAGGTTTTTAGCATCTCTTACTGAAAAAAGAAAAAGCAGTTTCAGCATCAATAGTGTCCCAAATGTTTCAGCACCAACCAACAATGGTTACAGAGCCTATAGAAGTGTTCCTGAAGGCATCACACTTACTTAATGAGAATTTGCATTTATTAACATCAACTGCTAAAAAGCATCCAAAGTAGGAGAAACTGGTAAGATATGGTTTAAAATTGATTTAAATTGGTTTAAAGTTTATTTCTGACTTTCTTAATGCTCTTCCTACTCCACTCCCAAGATGAACTGTAAGTCCTCTAAGCTTGTTTTCCACAAAGGCTACAAGGAAGATTAGCTTCTTTCATTTACCATATTGTTATAAAGATTCATCCACATTGTAGCATGTGTCAGTACTTCCCTGAATAACATTCCATTATATGGACACAACAAATTTTGTTTACCCATTCATCAGCTGATTAACATTAGAGTTGTTTCCACTTTTTGGCTATTGTGAATAATGCTTCTGTGAACATCTGTGTAGCCTGACACAAAAGGTCACACATATTATATAATTCCACTGATATGAAACATGCAGAATGAGTAAATCTCATAAACAGAAAGCAGACTAGCGGTTGCCAGAGGCTGGGGACAGGGAGAGGATGGAGAGTAACTACTTAATAGGTATGTGGTTTCCTTTACAGGTGACAAAAATTTCTCAGATCTAGACAGAGAGGATGATTATGTGCACAACACTGTGAATGTACTAAATGCTACTGAACTATAAATTCTTATAAATGGTTAATTTTATATGATGTGAATTTTACTTCAATTCAAAAAGAAAAAGCTAAGAGAAAGAAAGAGTTGTCCACTAAACCAAGGTATACCCATCATCCAGGCAGCACCCACACCCAGTGTCCAAACAGCCCATAGAGAGAAAGAAGGCTGGAAAAATATTGGTTCTACCTTCAATCAAGACTACTGTTTAAAAGCCAGAAGACCAGCTTAGAGAAGGAAATGAAGTAGAGGGCTGGCAGTGTAGATGCTGGCCATAGTAAGGTAGAATAAGACATCAGGCTGGAGAAACAGGAAGAAGTTAATTAAGAGTTAATTCAAAAACTAGTAACATAAGTAACCAGGGGAAGGAGATGAAAAAATGGAAGTTGTACAGATCCTAAGGATACTGTGCCAACCATCACACTTATGATAGAAAAACTGAATCAAACTGTCTGCCAGAAGACTAATATATAAGACACCTAGCAGGAATCCGAACATGGTTCAACCTTAGTATGTCTACGATTAAAATAGTCATCACATTTATAAGTCAAAGGGGAAAACCTCAAGATCATTGCAATTAGTTAGAAATAGCTAATTTCATTCACAGGATAAAGGCTATCTGAAATAGCACCACAGTTAATGATAAATGCAATCTTATTAAACTCAGGGATAAGACAGATACCCATGACCACCGCCATTATGGAACACTGTTTCTAACTGTTCCACAAGTGTGATAAAACAACAGAAACAGAATATTGCATAGTAGGGAGTAAAGCACCCCCTTCCTTCCTGCATCCTTTGCTTCTACCTCATCAGTCACCTCCTACCTGGAGCTTATTAATACCAAAATGACACCACTTTCTCAATTCAATTTTATGTACCCCAAGATCTTACACCACTTCCCATTTTCCCAGTTAATTAAATTTAGTACCCCACAGCAATACGTCTTTTACCACCAATCAGTCTACTGATCCCCATAAATTTCCTCTATTTCCCATTCCTTCCTGCCTCTACTCCATTCGGCCCAGATTAGATTTTAGGGTGCATTATAATCACTCCCTTGAAAACACCCTCCACTCCCTTGTTCATCTTTCTTTCCATTTTCTTTATCTGACAAAACCCTAACCCTAGTTAAATTCAAATATCTTCCCTTTCATTTTCCTACATTCAAACAGTTGTCCGTGGCTAGAGGGGAAAAAAACCCACCTGACATGCCTATGATTATATTGCTAGTAAGTGGTTGGGATTAAATAAATGAGGTGAGACAGGGCTGGGTGGCTGCCAATGAGTGACAAAGGACCTGGGGATGGAAGCTGTAAGTCACTCTGCACTGACATTTCTCTGCACTCTAGCATAATGTCACTTTCTTCCATTTATCCACAGGTAGAATTCATGCTCCATTTCCACTTGCAGGTTGCATCTCATTCTTGTACCAGAAGCAAGCATGTTTCCTTTGATTCAGTTAAGTTCAATAAGCAGAGGTCTCTACTATGTGTTAGACGCTTTGATAGGCACTAGGCACACAGAGGACAACATAAGATGTTGGTCCTGTCCCCAAGGAAGATATAAAACCAACTTAGTCAAAGTGTAGTTGATTTCTAATGACACAGTAGCTAGACTGTACAGTGTTCTGGATGCAGGGATACAAGATGCTGCAGTCTGTATGCATCTTGTCTACCATTACTTCATATTTTTTCACCTTGGTTTACTGATTAAATGGAGATAATTTATAACTCATTGATTGGATTGTTATAAGAATACAGCCAGATAAAGAATATATAGGGACCAGAGGGGAGAGGGGAGGGAATTTCGGGGGAAAAGGGGAAGGATTCACAAGAACAAGTATAAAGGACACATGGACAAAAACTAACAGGGGTGGAAAAGGGAGGGAGGTGGGGAGCACATCTGGGATGGGAGTAAAAGACAGAAAACTGTACTTAAAAAATAATTAAATTAAAAAAATATGAAAAAAAACAAGAATATATATGTTTGGCACAGAACCTGAGATCTAGGGAATAGTCAATAAATGCAATATTATTTGCACAATATTATTATTACTTACTGTCCTCTTTTACTACACTTGTCAATTTGTATAATGAAGATTTAACTATTTCCGAATGGACTGATATCAAACAGAACCTCTTGTGATCTCTCTTCTTGAGAATAATGCATCTGACCTTTGCACTTGAACCCTTCCAGGAATGCCTTTTCAAACCCTAGCATGCAGGAGAGTCACCCACAGGGCTGTGAGATAGACTCCTGGGACTCACTCCCACCCAGATTCTGGTTCAGTAATTCAGAGCGAGACCTGTTTATCTGCTTTTCTAACAAGTTCCCAGGTGATGCTTGTAGAGCACATTTTAAGTAAAGCTTTTCTACATGATACAATTGCCTAGGATGTCCATGCATTCCCCCCGCCCCAAAACACAATTTTCAACCAGTGTGCTGGGGCAGGCACACTGATGTGCTGCAAATTTTTAAAACATGGACCTGAGTGATGTGGCTCAGTAGGTTGGTCATCATCCCTCAAGCCAAGAGGTCACCAGTTCAATTCCTGGTCAGGGCACATGCCTGGGTTGAGTGCCAGGTCCCCAGTTGTGGGTGGACAAGAGTCAACCAATAGATGTTTCTCCCTCACATCAATGTTTCTCTCCTTTTTCTCCCTCCCTTCCTCTCTCTCTAAAAATAAATAAAGTCTTTTAAAAAAAGAATTTTTAAAACATGCGAGGGACAGTGACATCTTTTTCCCTTAGATTATCAAATTAAAAAAGTGACAATAGACAACACAACAATAGCTGTCCAGTGTGAATGAATCAAAATTATGCCTATTTTTTTTGTTAGATCAGCAAAAAGCCATGATTTTTTTGGTGTGCATAAAATTTTAGTAATTAGTTTATGTGTGCCACGAAAAGAAAAAGGTTGAAAATGGCTGCCTTAGAAGACCACTTCATTTTTTGAGCCTTCCAAGAAAACTACCTTGTGTCAGTGTCTAGGCTGGGATCTTAGAATGACACATCCTTCACACAGTAGGCTACATAAACACACAACTGAGACACTCTTAGGTGCCAGAAACTTGTCTGGTTGATCGGCAACACACATGTAAATAAAAATGGCTCATCTTTCTTTTCTCTGCTAAGGCCACAACTGTTCCCCATCTTGGAGACTGATAGCACAGGACGGTCATGGGAGAACATGCTTCTCTTGCAAGTTTAAGACTTCACAGCTCTTCCACAATGTTCTTTGCACAATAAGAGTGTCTTGCATGCTTCAGCCAATCTCACAACTATGACCGGAATTTATAATGACTTCTCCTTGGGCAGCTTCTTCCCCTGAATCAGACATCCCTAATTGATGCATGACTCTATGTCTCTCCCAACCCCATGGATCCTTTCTTATACTTCTGTACTTTTTCGGTCTTTCCTCTACCAGGGCCAAAAATTTCTTGGAAAGGAATGGAGTAGAACTGGTTCTGGGACTGGTGATGTTCACCTTTCCAAGAGCTGTGGCTACTACGACTGCTGTATTGTGAACAGCTGACAGTAGCTACAGGCTAAGATCCAAAGGCCTGTCCCTCCTAAAGCTTTTCAAAGTCCTGTTTCCCAGCAGCAAGACAGCCACAAATGCATCAAGGAAGCATCTCTCTAGACCACACTTGGCAAGACTGACTTTGATTTTTCTTGATAAATGTTTCTTTACTATCTTGGTTGAAATTCAGCCAGCCCAGATGGTACAAAATGCTTCACACAAAGCAGAAATAGCAACCTTCTCCTCACCCCCCTCCTGCTGCTGGTGGAAGTTTACTAAAGGTACAAGAGAAGTATCCTAATCCAGAGAACACTGCTTGCCTCAGCTGTGAAGCTGAGTGGCAAGCAGGTGAGGTCTGGCTGTTTCTATCAAAGAGTCTTTACAGCAAACAAGGTCTCTGCATTATGATCAAAATTACCCTAAGTCAGTGCTGAATCCATGAAAAGATAGCTCTAATGTTAACCATTTTGCTAAGAATTGTTCTTCACTAAGAAATTCCCTAATCTGCACCCCCATGCCACACACACACACCAAAATTTCAACTACAGGGAAAAGTCTGAATAACTGTGCTGCTTCGATATCTTTATCTTACATTGTGTGAACCAGGACCTTCTCTTTATTAATTCCTTTTAAAGGTATATCAGGAGTCTTTATTTGTCCTCACTATGTGTCCTTAGAACAGTTACTCAAAGCAACACCCACTAACATTCAAGTATGTTTGAGGATGTTTGCAATGATAAGAAGTAAG